AAGGAAAAAAGACAAAAAAAGGAAAATAATAGGAAAAAAACCCACAAAGCTATATTGTCACATGAGAGGTTATGATGATATTCTATCAGCTTTTTTGTTCATCATCAAAAGACTATTACTAAATTCCACACGGACATCACTTGCATAAAATCCCTGTCCTCTAGGAACTTACGATTGGACCAAACTACTAGCACACAGTGAGTGAAGACAGAAAAACAGATATAAATAGATAGATTGGAAAGCAACTTCCCCAGAGGTTGGGGAACCTCATTAGCAGCTCCTATTTATAGAAAATGACTGTTCCCAAAGGGAGCTTAGTTATTTACAAATTTGCAAAAAGCAAACTCCTTAGACTTGCATATGGTAGAGAGGATGGCTGTGGAGCCAGTTAGAAGTAGGTTTAAATTTCTACTCTACTGCTTACTGGCTGCAACAGGGGAAGTCACTTTCCTTCCCTTGACATGTGCTCCCCATCCACCTCTCAGGGTAGCTGGGAGATAGTAAAGTTCATGTAAAGCTCTGGGCTCAGTCCCCCAGCAAACTGTAGAAAGGTACACAACTTCCCTCTACCGAACAACTCACATGGCACCTACAGCAAGCAGTGCAGTACAGTAAGTAGGAAGACTAGCTTTTGAGGAATTTCAAACTTGCTATGTTCTTTGTACAGCAAGCATTTCATTTTTTTTTTTTTTTTGGTGGTGCTGGGGTTTTGAACTCAGGGTCTTGCACTTATTTTTTTTTTTTTTGTCTTTTCTTTTTGGTGCTGGGATTGAACCCAGGGCTTCGTGCCTGCTAGGCAAGCGCTCTACCCCTGAGCTCCATCCCAACCTAGGGCCTTGCACTTGCATCAAGCATTTCTTGACTCTTTAAGGACCAGTGGCCAGGCTGTTGTGCATGTGTGTGTGCACATGCACACAGAGAGAGAGGAGGATTGAGCATTCAAGGCCAGCGTGGGCTACATAGCAAGAAATTTCTCAAAGAAAAATTTGTTTTCATCTTCCCCAAGATGAATCAGAGTATTCACAGCAAAAGGCTTTTCTAAGATTCCACTGTCCCAGAGTTGAGGAAATTCCTGAAGCATCCCAGCAAAGTTAGGCTGAGGGTAAATTCTTACACTCTGTACACTATCTGCAGGGCTAGAATGATTTCACTCTGCTTTTACTGTCAAGGGCACAGATGGTCTAAGGACAGTTTATTATTCCATGAACTTAACTTGAGATAACAGTGACACCCAGGTCCTGAGGGAACAAGACCATAGCCTGCTCTAGGGCTTCCAGACAGGATTCCTGGTGGCACTGAGTGGTGAAAAATTCATGCCATCATCAGACCTCAGAGTGTTCTGTTCCAGACTTGGACTGTGCATGATGACAGAAGTCACTGTGATGATAGATCTTGGCAGAGGATTTGGAAGATGACACAGAACCTCTCAACTGGGAAAAAACTCAGCTATAATGAATTCTTGCTCCTCTGGAAAAATCTTATTTTCTTTTCCAGGCCTAAAGAAAATGCCACCTCTTCCAGGAAGCCTTCCATGACTAGTTTGAGTATGGTCCCTTCCTGAGTGCTTCCAGTTACTGCACATATGACCTGGTATCACAAGAATTTCCTCCATTCTGTCTTCTCCATTGGACTGCAGACTTCCACAACTGTTCCCTTTCATAGATGTCATGACTTGAAATAATATATTGATGTGTTTATTACCTTTTATTCATGTTTTCATTGTAAGCCTATAAGCTCGTGAATGCAGGGTCTGTCCTGTCTTGCTGCTCAGTATTATCTACCCAGTATCCAGCACTGTGCCCGACATCTGAGGTGCTCCCTAGGGTGTGTTGAATGAATGAATGAATGAATGAATCCATACATAAATAAATGTAAGCTCCTTAGGGTTCATCTCTGTTTCTGTAGCACTCAGCACAGTGGTTGGCACAAGGTTATCAAACAGAGAAAGTTGAACGAACATGGGTGTTTTTAAAAAGAGGGATTAAGTCTTAAAAAGTGGTCTATGTTTATGCAAATTGCCATCGAAAATAGGATATATAAATATACCGTCCTAACTGGCATAGAGCTTGGAATGAATAGAAATCTAAAAATGGATGGCCAATTAAAAACTTAAGAAAAAAAATTGAAGGTACATTCTGAGCCAGGGAACTGTTTAGACTATTATACTGATAGCACCTTCCTTAAGAGTCCTTAAGATAGAAAGGAAGGATGCCAAAGAAAAAAAGCAATCTAGAGTTCAGGAGACTCTTATAGCTGGAAGGGACCTTGACAGGTCACAATTTCCTTGTAAAAGTTCTCCTGTTTAAAGCACTCTCCATGATATCTCACTGTCATTACTATAGTCCAGTGAGGTAGACAGGTCAGGAGTTGTATCCATTTTACAGGGAAGGAAACTGAGGCTAGAGACTAAGTAACCTCTGTTAGGTCACAAAGCTAATTAGAAGTGGATAAACCTTTGTGGAGGCCTCCAATTATCAACATTTGGCATCTCCAAGACTTAGACTGGTAACAACGAGAAATATCTCCTGATAGCATAGTAACTGGAGGTGGTTTTAGAGCAAGACAGACCTAGGTGTGAGGACAAATTCCTCTACTGTGATCTTAGATATGTTTACTTAACCTCTCCAAGCTTCAGTTTCATTTCATCTGTGAAATGGGATGGTAATGACAAAAAACACCTCATATGGTGGAAGATTAAATGAATGAACATTTCATACCCGTGCTACCTCAGCACAGGTAGTGTTTCAGAGTATCAGGTATAGTGAGGAAAGGTGACTGGCTCAGATGCTGGACTTAGACTGCTGCCTCACTGAGCCCTCCTGCTTCCTAAGATGCTTCCTGCCTGGGGTCCTTTCCTTCCTTCCATGCTTGTCAAGTCAGGGCAGGGGCTCTGCAGGAAGAGGTTAAGCTAGCAAGCGTGGTTTGTCTGTGGCGTGCATGCCTGGCCCCATAAAACCCTATCCGTAGGCACTTGTCCTTTGTGCCATGCTGACGCTCTCTGCTCCATGGAATCTCTCTGTGGGTTCAGTCTTGCTCCCACTGACCCCCAGGCTCTCCCCAAGAGTCCTTGCCAGGAAAGAGAGCAGGAGGAATGAATGAGATGAGATCTGGGCTCACTTCCTGCTTGGAAGACCCAGGAGGAGACCATGCGAGGATGGTGCTTATAGACAGAGCCTTCCCCAGCAGGGGCAATAATCCTCAAAGTGTGGGGGAAAGGCATCTGCTCTGGGGCAAGGAGACACAGGGCTGACAGCAACTCACTCATCAAAAGCTGGTCGTGGAGACACTGAGGGCCAATTAAGTCATTCACCCTATACCCTCGAATCCTCCCAGGAGCCCAAGGGGGGCCTGAGCCTGCTGGGAGAGCAGCTCTTTGATCCGCACTGGCCTCAGCCAAACATTTACAAGGAAGGTTTCCGAGCTGTCCCCAGAGCAAAGGCTTGGGCTAAGCTCCCCTTCTGTGGGCTGGAGGCGGGCTAGGTAAATTTTATAATTGAAGTGTGAATTCGAGGACTGACCTGCACTTTACAACGGCACCTCTCTCCTTGCTCTAAGAACTTTCAGCCTGTAACTTTGGGCTTGGATGGAAAGAAAACTCAGATCCAACAGAGCTCCAATCCCAGCAGGCAGCAGGATGTAATGTGACCTGCTCCTCTCCCGGGGCTAAAGCAGACTGGGCCCCACCCAGGCACACCTGCCTAGAAACTGTTTCTGGTAGGGAGCTAGGTGAGCACTTAACAGCTGTGGCCCCAGGATAGGGCACTAAGCTTACTCTGCCAAGGCCAGGTTCCCCTGGGACAGGGTGGTTCCCCTGGAGTGGGGTGGGGCAAAGCAAGGGCTCAGGGAGAATAGGAACTCAAAAGAAATGATGAGGAGCTAGAAAAGGATGTTGTATAGGAAGATGATTCTGGGAAAGAGTGTTGGAATCACTTAGAGGATTTTCATACCTTCTGGGGGCGGGGGGGGGGGGTGGGCAACAAGAACATCTGTAGAGCCAGTAAATTGAGTCCTTGAAGAGTACTTGAGGCTCCCTCCAAGGAAGCGCCAGGAAGCAAAAGCATGTCACATGGTGGCAGTTTTGGCTGCTGGGACTGAGAGGGCTGGGAGAGGTTTGTGGTGGGCCTGGCCACAGCACCATACAGAGTCCCTCATTCTGCTTCCTGGCCTCCAAGTTCCAGAGTCAGCCAGGTCTGTCAGAGGAAAGTTGAGGGGACCAAGTGTGTATATCAGGATGAAAGCTTGAGGTGGGAACTCTCAGAAAACCCAGAAAGTCCCTGCTCAGGTCACTGGAATTTTCTAATCAGCCTTGAAAATGCACTTTCCAAGTCGGCTCTAGGTGTCCTGAGTGGGGGAGGGGGTAAGGGCTGTGGTCATTCACTTCCCCTTTATGAAGGAGCTCTGTGCAAGATGGTTGTGTCCCTCACCACCAGTCTCTGGGTAGAGTCCCAGGCCTTCATTTCCATCCTGAGAGATTCAACCAGCTCAGAGAGTCACAAATTCAGTGCCCCTTCCCTTCCCCTAGGTCTCATCCTTCATCTCCCATCACCTCTTTTCACCCTAGGACTAATCTCCGAGTTTCCGCAGTTGGGGGAACCTCGACTGAGTCTGCCTGGGACCGCAGACCTCCCTGCATACCCCACCCCCAGGCCTGGTCCCTGAGGACCCTGACCCCTGCAGCAGCGGCAACCATGGAAGTTCAACCAAGTTGTGCTATTGTCTTGGTACATCCAGGTCTCCGGGGAGACTAAGCGCCTTCCCTCCCCTCTCCGTACCCCCAAAGCCCCAAACACCAGCAGCCAAAAGGTGGAAGCCCGCAGGCTCGGGGCGGCGCTGGCAGAACAGGAGCGTGGCCAAGACCCTCCTTCTTGCGGACCCCACACCCACCGCTCCCCACCCCAAGGCTGCAGCTGCGGAGGAACTGGGGGGCCGGGGCTGGGCCGGGTGCCACGATCCCGATCCCGATCCCAGATGGCGGGCTGCGGTGGGTTGGGGGCGCTTACCTGCGGGGGAAATTCACTGTCCTCCCCGACCTGGGCAGAGGCAGGTGAAGCATCTTGCCCAGCTCAGGCGGCCATTCACCGGGTGGGCACCCAGGACCCCTTCCGGGACTGACCTCACCCGGCACGCGACGGACACCCCAAAAAAGGTCTGAGCCGCCAACCACGCGGAGGGCCCGAAACCGAACCCCGCCGGCCCTCCGCTCCCTTTTTTTTCCGCAGCCGGGCTCGTACTTACGGCTCCAGCTGTACTTAAAGCGACAGAGCCCCATTTCCCCCGTCGCTGACTTCTGTCCCGAGCGCCGGCGATGCTGGCTGCGAGCGGGCTCTTTAACGCCCACAGCAGGTAGACAAAGAGCCACCGCAGCCTCCACCGTTCCGGTGGCCTCGGAAGCCCGGAGGTGCAGAGGAGGCTTAGGGGCCTGGACCTCCACCTGGTCTGCTCCCGGGTTAACCCCTTGGATGCCAGCTGCGGTCCCGTGGGCGCTTGACTCCCGCTGCGCAGTCAGAAGGGGGCGTGAGCAGCGGGCGCTTCCAAGTCTCTCCGGCAGGGAGCCGAGGTGCACGAGTGGGTAGGGGAGGTGGACAGAGGTGTCAGAGGCCTGGGCAGAACCCTCTGGCAGAGGGCTTCCTCCCAGCCTCCTCCCGACTCCTTTTTAGGCTTTTACAAATTAGAGCTTTTACAAAATTAGAGCATTGAATCCGGTACATCCCTAAAGCAAGATCTATCTCTGGAAGGATGTGGTAGGGAGATGGAGGTCAGAGGTTGGCTCCGGAATGTTCTGCTGGGGGCAGGTGTGTGACCTCTCAGAGTCCTGATACCCTCACGGGTCGGTTCTAACATCTTTCCAGCATTCAGCGGACCACAGATGAAGGGAAAGACATGCTTGGCAGAGGGAGGCTGGGGAAAAGAGCAGCTCACACCCCAGAAGGGTCTGTGCCTTCATCTAGGAAGCATTTTCAGCTTATGGATTTGGAAGAAAAAGATCCAAAGACACGAAGTTTTTACCATAGGGTATGAAAAAGTCGTGGGATGCAGTAGCAAGTGCCCTCTGCTTCTTAGGGCACACTGGCACCTTACCCTCCCTGTGAAAGAGAAAGGAGAAGGGCACAGAAGTTGGATTGCTCCCCACTGCCCTGCCCTGCCCCCTCCTGTCCTCACTGAAGAAACTTCACAACTATGGTTGGGTCTCCACACCAGTGTGAAGAGGACAAGCTGGGAAGACTGGATTTTAGAAAGGAATAGTTTATATCTGCAGATCCATCGTTCCTTCCTCCCTTCCCAGCTACAACAAGAAACATAAAATAGGAGGATCACAGTCCAGGCTGCATAGGCAAAAAGTGAGACCCTGTCTCCAAAATAACCGCAGCACAAAGGGTTGGAGGTGTGGCTCAAGCAGTAGAGTGCCTGCCTAGCAAGCTCAAAGCCCCGAGTTCAAACAACAATACTGCAAATAAGCTGCAGGTCAGACCACCCCTTAGCATGGAGAAAACAGATTTGGATTTCCTTTGCCCTGTTCTGAGCGGCTTAGCTGGTAAGAATTAGGAAAGATGCCTCAGATCCTAAGCAGACCAGCTTTGAGGGGAATCAGAGCAAGGCAAGTGGTTCTCTCTGGCACATTGTCCATCTCAGTCCAGGATAGTGTCCCTAGACCAAGCCCTATCCTGGCTCTCCTGTCCTGCTACTGTCCCTGGCCTCCTGGCCCCACCACTACCCTAAAGGGAGGGTGAGCACAATCAGTTCTCTAGGGAAGGTCTGATCCTGCAGCTGTGCTGAAGCCTGGCCTGGGTCATCTGGGGAACAGCTTACAGTGACACGTGCACTGTGCGCCGCCATAAGGGATTCTCTTTAGCCACAGCCAGTGTGAATCCCCAGGAAAATGACTGTCAGCCAGAGGAATGTCATCAGCAGGGGATGTTGTTCTCCAGATCTAGCTGTAGGTTTTCCATAAGGTTTCCTCCTTTGTGGATTTCTGAGCAGAGCTGGAGGGAGGGAGAGCTGAGGCCTGGAAGGGGTAAGGCATGGGAGTTTACTTGGGTTGTGCTATCCCTGAACATTCCTTCACAGCTTCTCCCTCTCCCCACCACCCCCAGCCCATGTGGCCCTATCCCTTTTTCTTATACCTGGCAGTATGTCTACCCTCAAGTCCATTCTCCCTTTCCTCTCACTCTCTACCTCACCCCTCACAGGGACTGGGGGACCAGGCCACAATACAAACAAGTGTAACCCAGCAGCTCAGCTCCAGGGAGGGGCTCTTAGCTTCCTGAGTCCCTGCAAACCCAACAGAATCAAAGGTTCCTTCCATATGTCCCTCTTGCCTCCCTGATGGGGAAGAAGGGTCTCATGGTGGTATCTTCGTAGAGTGCACTTTTACAGGAGAAGGGGCAGGGTCCCAGAGGCTTTGCCTCTTAAATAAATAGCATGCAAATTAGCACCTGCTATTTTCAGCCCACAGGTCAGAGCACTTTGGGTAATTGGACAGCAGCACTGAAGAGGAATGCTGTCTGGGGGCTTTTGTGAAGTCAGGCAAACACAGCCTCCCCTGTCAACAGGCCCACTCTTGCGCTTGAAGGGGCCTTGACCTTGCCCATCATGGGGGTGTGGCAGAGGGGAAGTAATATAGTGGCCTTGACTACAGTGGGGGAGCTCTTCTTTCTGGGTTCTAGGCTGCATGCCCGGGCAGAGGGAGTGGGGGACAGCTGAGGCACACATGGTGCAGGGGGAGACACCTGCTGAAAGGGAGTTGGGAATTAGGCACTTTTCCAGAAGAAAACCCAGCCAAACAGGGCAAGAGGAAAAAGGCCCATCTTTCTTAGATAGGCCTCCTCTGTGTGCCTCTGGTGCTTCTCTTCAAAGAGCCTTTGGGAGCCATGACCTCATTCATCTCTCCTGCCAGCACCACTAGAGTGACTCTTTACAAGGGGGACACTGAGGCATGAAAAGGCCAGGAAATGCTCAAAGCAGAGGGCAAGTCCCTCGGCAGAGTCCTAAGAAGGGGTGATTCCTGCCCCCTGCCCCTACTTCCCAGACCTTGAAGGATCTCTGGAATTACCTGTGCCCAGACCCAAGGTGTTCTCTGCCAATGTCCCATTTTCAATGGAGACATCTAAAGATAGTTTGGGGAAGGTTCGAAGGTTGATGTGGTTGGTTGGTTTGAGTGGGGCAAGAAAAAAAAGAGAGACTTGCCAGGTAGTTCTTTGAGCTCTGAATTCATTTGCCTGGAGGGTTCTGGGTTCCAGTGTCACCTGTCTGGGGCCTGACCACACACCTGATTTCCTGGTGAGCCCCTTGAGAAGACTGGCTCACAGGGTAGGCACCCACACTCTGTTCCTTGACTTGCCCTGGGTAACTCATCAGATGGAAGAACAACCTCCCTCTTCCTGGCCTGTAGGTGAGACGTAGGCCTGGACACCCCCTTCCATGCCTGGCCAAGCTAAGCTAGTAGCATCTCAGCAGAGGCAGGCAGAGAGTAGAGTGATAAGAAAAAGAATTAAATCAGCTAAGGGGGCAGGGAATGGGGAGAAAAGGACTTGGGAATTGCCTGGTCACATCCCTAATCCCAGCTTTCAAAAACCTACTCCAGAAATCCCAATGACTCCACTGAATCCTGAGGGAATTGTCTGTTGTGACTTTGATAGAAATGTCTAGAAAAATGATTCCCAACATCTCCACAGCACAAGTTTTCAAAGCACAGTCACATCTGTGATTTTTTTCCATCTCCAAACAACCAGGCAGCTATTTTAATACTTGCTTTATATCACTCAAGGCTAGAAGGGTTCAGAGTGGCCTAAGGTAGTCTGGCCACAGGTGTATTGGCAGTAATTACATCAGCTCCAGGTCGGGGATCGCTGGGGGATTTCAGTGTCTGTGGCTTCCAGATGTGAGCCTGGGAGCTTCCCTCCTCTCTCCTGATCCAGCAAGGTTGCTGCCTCTCCTCACCAACCTCCAGGCCTTCCCTAGCCATGGATTCTGGACCAGACCCTGCTCATGAAGTCAGACAATCCAGAACATCAGAATGGAAAAGGACTTTAGAGGTCACCTGGTTCAACCCCCTCCTTTCACAGAGGAGGAGAAGTAGCCTAGAAAGGGGAAGTGAAGTGCTCCAGACCCCTCCATTTGTCCCAGGTTTCCTGATTCCTGGACCAGCGTCCCTTCTACACAGAGGTTTCATTTCTTACCAACTCCATCCCTGAGGCCGGCCCTGGGCTTAGACTGAAAGGTTTGGAAGGTTCATCTGGCACCCTAGTGCCAGCAGAGGATCAGTGGAGAGTTCCAAAAGCCCTGCCCTAATCTCAGCTGAGATTTCTCTGGGGTGGCAAATGAGCCGGCTGGAGGAAGGGGCCCTGCTCCCAGCTGTGTTACTACTCAGCAAATATTTATGTAACCTTTGAGGAGACATGCCTTTCCCACCACCCCCGCAGCTGGGAGCAGCAGCAGAGAGAGGAGCCCCCACCAGGTCCCACATAGTGACCTCCTGGCCTGGTAGGCTTAACTTACTATCCCTGTGAGCGAGTGACAGAGCATTCAGGAGTGGAAGAGGAAAGAGAGGGGGCAGAGGCTGCCTGTCAACTAAGGGTCTGATGGACCTGCAGAGGGGTGGCTGAGCAGGTACCAGTGTGTGTGTGTGTGTGTGTGTGTGTGTGCACGCGCTCGCATCTCTGTGTGCAGTGCATATGTATCGTATCCTTCAATCCTCAAAGCCCTTCTCCAGGCCTCAGCCTCTAACAGCTGGTGTGAGCTACTCTCCCCTCTCACGTGGAAAGCAGAGGCCTCCTTTCCACGCCCCTTGGTTCCCCTGATGTCACAGGGTAGGTCTCTTTTCTTCACAGGAGCCAGACAGCTGCTATGGAAACAGGACAGATTGCATTACCCCTCTCTCTGAAGTGCTCCAGGGGCTTCCCCTCTCACTTAGAAGAAAAGCCACAGTCCTCAGCATGGCACACCTGGTCCCTGGCTACCTCCTGACCTCATTTCTCATCCCTTGTTTACTCTGTTTCAGCTACACTACTTACTTGCCAGGTCCTTGAATAGTCCACTCATTCTTGCCTCAGGGCCTTTGCACTCACTCTTCTGTTTATTGAATGGCTCCATCTTCAAAGAAACATTTCCTGACCACCCTGTCTCAAATAGCCACCACACATCTGCCCCTCACCCAGATTTATCTTTAAAGTACACAGCACCATCTAAACGATTATATTTTTATTTCATACATTGATTTGCTTGTTTGCAATTTCTTTTTCCTGTAGGAGTTTAAGAACAATTTCTATTTTTCCCTTGTTGGTACTCTGTAAGTACTTAATGTATGAATAAATACCATGGGGTAGATACCAACGTTATCTCTCCTTTGAGACAATGAAACTGAAGCACAAAGAGGCTTTGGGTAATATCCAAGGTCATATAAGCAGTGACTGACAAGCGGAGAATGAAATCCAGGCCAACCAGTCTCCAGCATGCTCCATAGACTTTGCCACTCTGCCTCCCAAGAACAGAACACTAACAGAAGAGGGGAACTGGGATTGCACAGCTGCTTCATCCCAGACTTCAGTGGGATCTTCCTGCCGGACCCTCACATGGGAGTGCCTTGCCCAGGCCAAATCTAGAAAACAGGGAGCATCTGGGTAAAGTTCACCCCAGCCTGGGCCCAGGGCAGCTGGTCGTCCATTGGGGTTCCCTTCTGAAGTCTGCTGAGGCTTGGTAAGGAGCAGTGTCAGACTGATTAGCTGTGTCCCTCACTTCTACTAACACTGGGCAGCATGTCAGCTGTCCTGGGACCCTTGCTGCAAGAAGTCCCACCACGTGGGTCTGTCTACATGTGTACATAGTATCACTCCTGGACTACCCCTTGTCATCAAACCCACTGTGGCCAGGACAGAAGCCAGACATGGAAGTAGAGGAAGGCTAAGAGACTGAGAAAGATGACCAATGAGAAGAGGGCCTGGGGAAAGGGCTAAATGAAGGTGGTCAGGAAAAGAGGCGGGTGGGGCAACAGTGGCTCAAGCCTGCAATTCTAACTATTTGGGAGACTGAGATTAGTAGGATAGTGGGTCAAAGCCAGCCTGGGCAAATAGTTTGG